CAATATTTTGTTTGGTTTTCATGTTACAGTCATTTTGCAAATATGTAGTGTATAAAATGTATCATTATCACCTAATTAACATAGTTTATTAGGTAGCTCATTTTGTTCTTACATCAAAATAGAATGTATCATATCAGGCTAGAATATAACTGCTCAATCTGCATTAGATCCAGAATGAGGTTTGTGGCTTTTTTTTCTGAGATCATGTTTTTAAGTTTGACTATCCATATCTCTCTTATATTTTTCTACTGTGTTCAATATATGAAGTCATTCTACCTATCCTAAGAAGTTACATCACAAACATTTTGTGTCCCAGAAGAGAAAGGTGAAATCTCTTTGAAAGCTAGCAAAAGTCTACTATTCTTACATAGACATTTAACTGCATGCAGTAAAAAAATTCAGGCTAAATGCCAAMTATTGCATTATTTTAGCTTTTGATGTTGTAACTTCATACTTGTACCTCACACAAAATGTTGAGTTTACAGACATTTGTAGAAAAGTAATTTTATTTTCCCTAAGGTTTCTTTCTTGCTGGTGTCTCCCAGGCTGCTGAACATTACTCAAAGATTGCAAAAAAMTGCTTTCTTTTTTAAAAGTACACAGGTATAGTCCAAATTCAGAGACAGAGGTCTCCTTGCTTGTAAATCAGAGGATCTTCTTTTATGTTCAATAATACCCTTCAAGGCATGAGAAGTATTTAATACTTATGCTCCTTTTTCATACTTAGTTGTTCAACTATCAAGCATCTTGATTAATCCACAATTCAGTGTTACCACCTACTTAACACTAAATAAAGTGAAATAAAATATTTTTAGACCATTACCATTTATTTTAACAGTCCTTTTATGTCATATGGTTTCATTTGTCCAAAAAAAAAAAAAAAGGTCATACTAGAATGGTCCTAGCCTCTTGGACCTCAGAAACAGCCTAATATTGCTCACCTCATGATCAGTCCCAATTTAAGTTTTTTGCTCTGTTTTTGTTAGTATTAATAATAAAAATAYTTTTACTTTATAGCAGTACTCTCATTTTGTTAAGCTGTGGAAATGTTCAAAGTAGWTCTATCATTTTTTAACTAAAATTTTATTAATTCACTGGTAATTTGTCCTACTATAGAACCTCTCTTTTCTTGGCTTTCCCTCTTCTTGTRAGCAAATCTCTTTCACTATTCTCACTATGAACATCTCAGTAGGCATTATACTGTTTGTGACATTGTCCATGTTAAAGTTATGAAATTCAGCTGATATTTCCAGAGTTATGATCTAGAAATTTTAATAATATGTGGCAGATCAGACTGTTCTGCACTAGAACTAGATGCTTTTAGGCTGACAAAAGTCTGGGATACTGCAGAAAGGGGTGAGAGAAATACGTTATGCCACCACAGCAGTCTTGATCATCTTTGGTGCTGTACTAACACCCTTAACAATCTGTTACCGCTTTTAAAACAAGGACAGTTATCACAATACAAAAGAATGAAAATGCATAAATATAAAATGCGAAGTGTAGTATGAGTTTAAGTGTATAAAGAATGGGGTAATGTTAGATTATGAAATCAGATGAATCCATGGCTAAGAGAACAAACATTGTTGAACCCTACCAAATGTGTTAAAAAATATTGTATTCAAGCACAGTTCAGCTGTGTGATGACTACCTTTAAACTTCACAGAACTCAATGAACACCATTTAGTTTAGACCATGCCCTTGAGTAGTGTTTCTTTTTAGTACAGAGTGTACTTATCACTGGGAATCATCTGGCTCCCTTCAAGTGGCAGGGACCCAGGCAATTCTGAGCTTCGGTGTGCAAAAGCAGCTGTGTTCTTCTCACCCCCTGGGCTGTGCTGAATATTACCTGGTCACAGCAAGGATCAGGGGCTCTGTCTTTATTCTTTCAGTTCTACAAAACCMCTCATTTTTCAGTTAGCGGTGACTTTGCTGTAAATATATGTTTTGGGCAGCAGAAAGCAAAGACTGTTGGTGGCAGAAACAACAAACTGTTTGTTTTATTACTGTCTCTTAAACATTGTTTTTAATCAGGTGGAGTTGCTCCAGAGCTGTTTGGCTTCTGCACATGATCCAGCTGTACAATAAGCTGTATTTGTGCAGTGYTTCAGTGTTGCAGAGTTGACATTAAGATGATTGCTTTATAGATGTTTGTGGTTTTTTCCATTAAACTTATAAAACACATTTTGAATATAATATGGTCAAGATTATTATGGTTTAAACTAAGTGTGTCAGTTTAAAATGAGGTTTTCACTATTACGATAGATTTGGATAGAAACATTCAGCCAAATAAGGCAAACCCTGACTTTAAAAGCAACTTGAAATCAAAAGCATGTAAGATGAAGTGTTACATGGCCATGAGTCAATTTCTAGCTGAAGGAATCAAATGCTTTGAAGTCTTGTATCTGCATTTAGTGAAGTGGCCATGCTAACAGTAAATTAGATATAGGGACTATGAAGGAGCAGGGGGGATGGGAAGGGGAGAAGGGGGGCATTATTGCCGTATGTTGAACAAAGAGCATAAATCAAAAACTTATATTCAATCTTGCACATTTCTGTACACACTTTGGTACCATATGTAGTCACATTAAACTACAGCATCGAAAGTAGGCAGAATCTTAATATCTTTTTCTCTYCCAGTTCAGCTGTTTTCCCCAACAGCTAAAATCAAAATTACACCTCTAGTAGGCTTTATTACTTGTGTATGTGTATACACACAACCACACTCACTCTCCTTCACTCACTCGCCTTCATGTAGCAAACTGCTTATGCCTTACACCTGTATTGTGTTTGCAGACTGGTAAGTTAAATATTTTTATTTTAAGAAGACAGTCAAAAAGTTTATCTACTGAGAGCTCTTGTGCCTAGATAGGACAACAGAATTGACTGATAAAATGTTTGGATTGTGAGAAAATTTAATAAGCAGAAAAGATCTCCAAAAGTAGTCTTTCAAAAAGTTTGTGGCCTTATTAATAGAGCTAGGCAAATCCGTCCTGTACTGCTGCTGTGAAATAGTCTTGCATGGCCCTTTCAGGACAAGTACAGRTAAAAGTGTCTTGAACTTTAGAAGGTAGAAAATGATGATGTTTTTATTTCATTCCAGGAAAAAAAAATTTGGTTACTGAAATTTGTTATTTATGGATGTGAAGGCTGCAGGGGCTGCTCTGCATTTTTTTATAAATGATTACTATTAATTTCAATATTACTGAATGTTTGGTGTAGTAATATATTAGCTTTATTCAACAGCTAAGTAACTGTACCTTAATCTGAATTAGATATACTTTTTTCCCGCTTAAGTGTGTAGTGATAGATTTTGAGACACTTGAAGGACCACATAAATATATTACCAGCAAGAACTTTCTGATTATCACTATAATAATAGAAAAATTCTGAACAGATACAGCATTCTCTTCCTCAACATTACTGTTGCAAAAATCTCATGTCACTGAAATATAAAATTGTAACAGACATTTCTTTAATGTACAATTTCAAACTAGGCTTAGTTAAAGTGTCCTTTCTTAAAAAAAAAAAAAAAAAAAAAAAAAAAAGTTCAATTCCTTTTACTGTGGAAGAAATTATATGTACGTGATGATACTCTCACCTTGACTCCTTCACTCTGGTGTTTTTCAAGTTTTGAGAATTTTATCTTATGGACTTAAAATAGGGCATGCTATAAGAATAGTTTTTACTGCCTTCCCTCCTTCAATTTTCTTAGCAGGCAACACTTGATGGTGCCTGTCTTTAATGGTTCAGAGAAGCAGAGCCTCAGTTAAAGAAAATGTCTAATTTTTTTGAAGAGTCCTGATCTGACTTCCATAACATTCTGCAATTTATTTTCCGTATATTCTAAATGTTTCATATTTTCTTCATAACCTCTCTATTTTATTCCTAGATTATTTTATTAATTGGCCAGGTAAATTGTTATAAATAAATCACAATGTGTTTACAAGGGTTTCTTCACCATACACCTCTTTATCTTGACAAGCACGAGCAAAAATCTAGCGGTGTGCCTAAGCACCTGCGCTTCTTTGAATGCAAAAAGCACATGGCACTTCGCTGGGCATTTCACCTTTGCAGTTCTTCCTGCTCTGGTGCAGGATTGATGGGTTGGAAAACAGAGGACCAGGACCTTACCCTGGAGAAGAGGAGGATCTGGGGTGACCTTATCTCTACAACTCCCTGGAAAGAGGGTGTAGCCAGTCTCTTCTCCCTGGCACCCAGGGACAGAATTAGAGGACACGGTCTTCAGCTGCGACAGGGGAAGTTTAGGCTGGACATTAGGAGGAATTGCCTCACAGAAAGGGTGATTAGATATTGGACAGGACTGCCCAGGGAGGTGGTGGAGTCACTGCCCCTGAAGGTGTTTAAGAAAAAACTGAACGTGGCACTCAGTACCATGGTGAAGTTGACAAGGCTGGTCATAGATTGGACTCGATGATCTCAGAGGTCTTTTCCAGCCTCACTCATTCTGTGATTTCCGTCCGTATTTGCTCRCAGSRGCAGCATTACTGTGGGTGCATCGCTGTTCCGTCGTGGCTGCAGCGGTTAGGTCAGGCGGGCCAAGTTTGGACTGGGCCTGCTTTGGGCTGTACCGGGTCTGCGCTGTACCGGGTCTGTGCTGGCCCTGCTTTGGGCTGTACCGGGTGTGGGCTGGCCCTGACTTGGGCTGGGCCTGCTTTGGGCTGTACCGGGTGTGGACTGGCCCTGATTTGGGCTGTACCGGGTGTGGGCTGGCCCTGACTTGGGCTGGCCCTGCTTTGGGCTGTACCGGGTCTGGGCTGGGCCTGCTTTGGGCTGTACCGGGTCTGGGCTGGCCCTGCTTTGGGCTGTACCGGCCCTGGGCGGGCCCTCCTTTGGGCTGTACCGGGTCTGGGCTGGCCCTGCTTTGGGCTGTACGTGATGTGGGTGCACCGGCTTTGGGCTGTGCTGGCGCTCCGGCGCTGCCGGGGTTCGCCCCGCCCCGCGCGACCTTTCCCCCCGCGGCGCTCCCGCCAATGGCCGCGCGCCGCCCCGCCCCTTCCGCCGGCGCGTCCGCGTGCGAGGGGCCGCTCGAGCGTGTTGCTCCGAGGCAGCTCCGCGCCGAGGTGAGCCGGGGGCTCGGCCACAGCCGGGACCGCCCGCCCCGCCCGCGGGGAGCCCCGCGCAACCCCCGGTGGCCGCCGCATCCCCGACGGCCGCCGCCACGCGGGTGTCTCCCCTCGGCCTTCTGGAGGCGGAGGCCCCGGCTGGGCCGCTGCGCCGTGCCGGGAGGGGACGGGCGCACGGAGGGTGCGCGGGCGTGTCGCGGGGAGTTCAGTGTGCCCTCCTCTGTGCTTGCAGATGCCCCCGAAAAAGGGAGGCGACGGGGTTAAGTCGCATCCGATCATCGGAAGGTTCGGGACATCCCTGAAGATCGGGATCGTCGGGCTGCCGAACGTGGGGTAGGTGTTGGGGGTCGGGCAGGGCGGCTCCCCGCGCTCCCCTGCGCCGGACAGGACAGGGAGCTGAGGCGCTGTCGGGGTGCGAACAGGTGCGGATAGGAAATGAGGGACACAAGTCTTACTGCTCAGTGATAGACTTCATCTTTAACTGGAACTGCTTGCAGGTGGAGCGACGCAAAACTGCCAGCGATAGGCAGGTGTGTACGAGTCTGGACAAGATACTAGTGAAGGGTTCAAAGAAAGGAAAAGTCTTAGTAAAGCTCAGTTTTATAAAACACTGTCCTTTGCATTTCCTTGCTTCTGCTGTTGTGATATGTAGTGCGTGTTTTCATGCAAACACGTGTACACGTGTACTACAAATTCCTTTTATATTTTGGGATGATGTGCACAGGAGGGGGTTAATTATTCCGTAAGTGTCATTAGCAGTGAAGAATACTTTCTTGAAACTTCTTCAGGGTTCGTAGTAAGACAAGCCTAAGTGACAGTTTGGAGGAGATGATGGAACGTTAATCATTGATTTTTGTCGTGCTTCTCGTCTGTAGTTGTTATGGCTCCTCATAGGAGCTGTACTTGAAAAGGAGGATGAATTGATTATCTGGAGGATATACGTGTGAAACTTCTTGGTATTAATTCTTGTGTCATATTTACTAAGAGAAGGTCTCAGCCTTCTCAGACTTTCAACAAATCAGAGGAAAAACCTTTGTTCATATCTCAAAGCTGGAAGCATTGCTTTCTTATATTGCCATTAGCATATATTTTATTTTTTAGGGTGTAGGCAAGATGTACTCCATAATGGAAATAATTAGCTGTAGCATTGTAGCATTGTAGCTGTGGCATGTAAATGGGGATAAATAGCATTTTTGGTTATGTTATGGTGTAACTTTCAGAGAAAATGGTTAGTGACTTCTGAGCACGTTGGCTGTATGCAGAGCAGCTCAAAAATACAATTCTATTTTTGGTAGAATATTTGGGAGTTGATTAAGAGTTGATTAATAAATCAAGAATTGATTTGGGAGTTGATTAATAAATCAAGAATTGTTCTTTTTGTTTAATAAATGCCAGCTACCAAAGCAATCTGCTACTTGGTTTAAAGGAAGTGTTTTTCTTTTTCCCCTGATAGAGTGCTTGTAGGCTTTTTTCCACTGATATTTAACAAGAATTAAAATAGCTTGGTAAGGTACAGCTTATCTTCATATGCACAAAAAATTACTTGTAATTTATTAACTGATGTGGTTTATGCCCATTTTGGCATATGGGCATATGATGGTCTCTATGCCCATTTTTCTCTTTCCATTGTTGACTTTTATTGCTTAGATACTGAAATTATAGTATTAGGCAAACAAATGTGGAGGAACAATACGCTTGTGGAAAGAGCTGGTGAGTCATGGCAAGACTAGTTTAAAAAGAACTTTCAGGTATCCTTATGGGTGTCTCACTGTACTTGAAGAAAATGAGAAATGGCCAGTAGGGCTGTGCATTGCTTTTGACTTAATTTTTTTTTTTTTTACTAACACACACGTGCAATATACTTAGAGAAATTTTAAACGGTAGGGAACAGGTAAACATCATTGGGTTTCAGTGGGACATTCTAGATGCATGAGTCTTCTGCTACAATCAGGGGAATGGTCACTGCTGTTGAAGTGAAGGGAATGCTCAGTATTACTTTTTGTTGGAATAAGATGTGGCTTCATCCAGTACTTTTAAATGCTTTTTAATTGAACTACTTTATGAATGTGTGTATTTTGTTTATAGGAAATCAACGTTTTTCAATGTGTTAACAAAGAGTCAAGCGGCAGCGGAGAATTTTCCTTTCTGTACTATTGATCCAAATGAGAGTCGAGTACCTGTGCCAGATGACAGATTTGACTTCCTATGCCAGTATCACAAACCTCCGAGGTAACTCAAATTTTTAATATTTTTCTTCAGTTAGGCAGCTGAAGTATATAACTGAACCAAAACTTTTAGCAGAATTTTAATGCAACTGTAATGTCTAGAAGTTGTTACTGACATCTGTTTTAGAATGTGAAATTATATGTGTACCTGTCCTATACCTTTCCCATGCCCCCAGTATGACCCTTGGTGTATGGCAATGATAAATATAGGATTGGTCAGTCATTGCTCAGCACCATTTGGTGCTTGGTATTCCTGTCTTTGAAGGTGGTTACTCCCAGGTGTCTTGGAAGATCTTCCGAAGAGATTTGGAAAATGAACATAGTAGACATACCTAACACATTATAAGGTTGCTCATTTGTTAGATTTCCACCATATACTTTGTATCATTCAGAATATTGTTCATGCTATAAGTATCTAAACAATTGTCATTATTCCTGCATCCTCAGTTATTTGGCAATAAGTTTTTTAATGGGCTGTCTTTTTTGTCCTTGATTTTCTCTCCTTTAATAGGCTCTGCTACTTGTTCTGTGGTATATTCAAGGATTTTCTTACACCACATCTCTTCTGATTCTTTGATTATTTTAGGAGCATATTAATTTTGTCACATCAGTTTTCTTGCTGTTGACTGTGTTTGTAATTTGCTCTCTATGTTTAATATGGGAACTTTTTTTTTTTTGCTTGGACAGCAAAATCCAAGCTTTCAGAAAACAACTTAAACAGGGACTTGTGACTCAAATTAATTTAAGTTTGCAGTTACTTGCAGAGGTATCTTGAATCGATTGTACATAAATCGTAGGCCAAACCAGCATGCATGTGCGTGCTTTTTTCCAGCACTTTGGGCATCTGTTTTAGAGCCAGATCTCACCCACAGTTAAAAAAGATTGATTAGGCACTAATCAAAAATCCATTTGCTGACCTAATTTTCAGTCTGTAATTATTGTGCAGTTTTTAAATACTGCATTAATATGAAGCTATTTGTTTAGGTGGATTGTTACAACATGTTAACTTGTTTSCTGCTCAAGCCAGTGCTAAGCATGATTGTTACTGCATGGATCTTAAAAACAAAACTTTTGAAACAGAGACAAAGCTTTCAGGCTGTTGACTGTACAGAGATAATGGTATGGCATTTAAGTTTTGTTGACAGTTTTCTTCTAAACTGAACTATTAGAGTTGCTTTGGCCATGTCAGTAATCCATTTTTCTTCTCACTTAGCTATGGATGGCGACTCCTGAATTAATAATTGAAGTGACAAAAGAGATTATTACCTCTCCTCTCACCCCTGCATCTGGCTACTCTAGCCTTACAAGGAGTGCTTAGATTGTAAATACTTGTATGTGTGTTCTCTGACTAGCAAATTCTCCTTCCCTCATTACTCTTAAATATTAATGAAAATAGTATATTTGTTGAAAATAATATATAAATAAAAAGGAATAAGCATACATAAATAGAAATAAATATATATTTTTTATTCAGTAAATATACTTGGTTTGATACCAAGCTTTTATTTGAATGGTCTTTTGAGTTTCTGCAGACATATTTGTTGCGTAAAGTCAGTGGATGTGATCATTAGTGGATAGTTATAGCTCCTGAGTCCACTTAAGCTGCTTATATGATTTCATATTCCACTGTAACAGTAACAAAGTAAAATAATTAGTGATAATCTAGTAAGACAGCAGACTGAAGTAACTTACTGGGCTGTTTGTGCTTGTCTGCCTGAGATTAACTCGGAAAAAGAAGGCTATAGTCACCAAGATAAGTTACTGTATTGTAATTCAAATGTTTTAATTTCTCTGTATAGTCTTGATTTTGTTCTTCATCTTTATGTAATACATTCTGTGGTAATTTTCTACTCGTTTGGGTTAGTAGACATAATCCATCTGTGCACGCAGAATGTTTTATAAACAGTGAATTCTCTTTAAATTAGACTCTTGTCTAGCCTCAAGATTTTGTCTTTCAAAATCTAAAGCATTCAGGTTTATATTTCCCATCTGTTACACTTAGTCTTCACATAACTGCAGTCCTTGTTGGGAGATGGGAAAAGGAAGAACAGGGTGACTTTGTCTTAACTGAAATAATGTATGACAGGGCAAAGTGATCTTGCTGTGAGCCAGGGGAGAGGAGAGGGACAGGGCWGGGGTGGCAGTTGCTGTCTGTCACGCTGAGCTGGGATCTTGCTCTGCTGTACCAAGATTGACTCTATTGCCAGGGGCATTGCTGGGATGAGTTAGCTGTTCTGCCATCAGAGGAAGAGGTGGGATCTTGAGATACTGTTTGTTGCTTGAAGATCCACTCGTCTCTCCAAAAGAGGAGAGAGCGCCTCAGCTTGGTGTGCAGTTGCTTGTTAGCTGATACTGAAAGCTGACTGGTATAAATGGGAAATGTCAGTGTTTCTAAGTGAAATCATATAGGCAACAGTTTAGGGACTATTATCTACAGGTAAATCTGTACTTAATAGATTAAGGTGCACTGCCAGAACTTGTAACCTGTGCTTTTTTTCTTTCTGCAGCAGTGGGATGTATGTGACTGTTGACAATAAATAASTTGAGTGATAGAGACTGTGCACAGAAGGTGGGCTCTAAGAACTTACAGTAAAAACTGCTATGTTGTTGCCAAATGRTATAGATGGTTTCTTTGAGTTTTTACTCACTACTGCTTGCTTTTTGGTGTGAATGAAACTGTGGCTACTAAAAAAAAAAGAAATYGTGATATATTAAACACAATCCTGAATGCTTGTTATTTTAAGGTATTTGTTTTTATTATGTTACTAATTTAATGTATGTATTTAACCCACTTATTTGTTGTAAATTTTATACAATGTTCAGTGAAAACCCCTTTGTTATGTTGTGCCCATGTGTAGCTTTTTCAGAAAGGAGACTGTGAACTTTTTATTTTGTTGTCCTCCTACTCCTGTTCCCCCAGCGCAGGTACTTTCAGGCAAGATTTTACAGACTAATGATTGGATTAGTTCCAGTTTAGTAACTGGAAAGAGAGTATTTTCTGTAGTCTGATTCACTTCAGAGGAATTAAAGCACAAAGGTGTATTTCCCCTCCACCTAATCTATGAATCCTAAGTAGGTAGCAGAGGATGAGGTCTGCTAATTCTGTAATGGAAAAGAGATATTTTTCATTTCAGCAAGTAGTTTCTGACATGAAAATTGTGACATGGAAACCAGAAACAGTCACTCTGTTAAATGCTCTGTTAATATTTTATCAGGCATCGTGTGTTTAGGGGTGATGGGTATCTCACACAAAAAAAAAAAAGAACTGTAGGGCATCTAAAGAAATTTTACTAATTTAATAAAAACTTTAATAAAACTGTTTTCTTGCATTTTTTGGTTCTAATTTTAATTAAAATGCTGCTTAATCACCTTAAACCTAGAAATATTTTTTTAGTGTAAATATATCAAACTCATTTAATTTGAATAGTGGTTTGTGTCCTAACTCACAAATATCTTGAAAGCTTTGAAAGCCTCTGAATACATGCACCCACCCCTCAGCTTGTACGTCTTCCGCCCTCTTGCCACAACTGTGGGGTGCTGTGTCTGCCCAGGTGTGCCTCACCGGACATTGGAGTCCAGCCTCAAAATGATTTTCACTGAGGTGATTTGTTCTGAGCCTGTGTAAATTAGGTGAGCTGGGATGCATCTTCTAGCGTTGCATATTTGCCAGCAGTGAATGAAAAATGAAATAGCGATGACTTGAGCCATCTTTCCTGCCTGATGGGAGAAGGCAGAATTTAATTAGTTGTGTTTTATTGATGTAATAACTTACTGAATAGTTTGAGAACCTGGGTGTTTGGTATGTACAGGACATGGAGTATGTGTTGTAATCCACATTGAATCTCTTACCTTGTTGTAATTTATATAAGTGCAATTTAATTAGCAGATTTTTCATTTCTGGTTCATGTGCCATWTGGTTCAAGTCTTGTTTGTCAGTACCATGGGTAAAATGCTATTAATGAAATAATTTTTGCATAGAAATGACCAGGGTTCATGTGCTGTACCTAGTTCTKGGGAAGCAGGTTTCTTTAATTGCCCAGTGAGGAATTTTGGTTACATTGGACAAAACTGCTTGCAAGATTGATTGTGGAGTAATAGGGAGTACAGTCTCCTGGAAGAGGAAGGGACTGTGAACTGCTCTGTTTTGGAAGTAAGCCAAAAGTAGCAGTGAGGACAGACTGAGATTTGAATGGCTCTCAAAAAGGTTGTCACAATATACATGCTCTCCTTTATGTTGCTGCATTTTCTTCAAGTCATTTGTGAATGCTAACAGATGACTCTGACTTAATTGGTATGAATTTTTTGGGAAAGAAGAAGAATTTCTCTTTTCTAACAGATTTAATGTAGCTTCTTTTAAAGTCAGAAGAACCTGTACTGGAACCAGGAGATGAGCAGCACATTTGGCTTTACCAGAGAGAAAGGGGATTGGACATTTTACCTTTATACTGAAGAATCTGGCCTTCTTGGTTGTGCCACCTAGGATCAGGTAGACTTTGAATTGAGAGAAATTTCTTGAACTATTGAAGCAATGAGTAAAAAGTGAGTGTGTTAATGAGTATTRTCATCAAGGCTTGCTGGAAAACTACTGCATTTTGAATTTAGTTGAAGCTGTCACATGGTTTTCCAGGGTTTCCTGGTGGATGTGAAATTTAGGTAAACTGTATTAAATGCTGCTGAGAAACTAATGAGGTTTTGATTTMATTTGAGAAGAGACAGTGTGTAAACCTAGAAGAGTAGAAATCCAGGGAGAAAAAYGACATTTCAGTTATCACATTTCAATTGATGTGAAAACTTCAAATGAGTGCTGCTTGTGTGTTTTTTCGACAAAGCAATTATTTGTGGATACTCTAGAAAGATATGTATGCCCCTCCCCTCAAATTTTGGAAAAAAAAATATGCATAACAACTTGCAGATACCCTATGTGTGTGCATTTTTAGAAACAAAAAGGCTACTGGTTGCATTGTATCATTCAGAACTGCTGTACACGACAAGGAGGTCAGGTAAAGAAACTCCTCCTGCTTRAATAACTGGTTTGTACTGATATTTGAAACAATTTGAAACTAAGTTGGTGTAAAATAAGTCTCACCCCCTGCAAAATTTGTAACCCTGTGGATGCRTAAGCCTCTTTATTCCTGAAAATGCCTTAACCACTGGACTGCAAAACTGTCCATTGTCTGGCCCAGTGAGTCTTGTGCTCTTTTATTGCATGGTTGCTCATACAGTGAAGGTAGTGCACTAACACAAACTCAATGCTGCTGTTTTTCTAAATGAGATAAAAAAATCCCTGCTCAAGGATTATACCTGTGTTTAAAATATAGAGATACTTCTGGATTTGGTGTTCTGTTTCATGTTATAGATCCTTGTGACATGCTTCATGGTAGAATTATGTTGCACTGATTTGTACAGATGATCAGTTGATGCCACCTGTTCTTGATGATCATTTGAGGCTCAGTGACACTATGCTAATGCTGACTAACAAATCTTAAGAAATGGAAACTAATTTGTTTAGAGGAGGAGAAAAGCAAAATGCAGTTAAGTCTTCAATAAACCATATTCAAGATATACTATACTCTTCTCCCGTTCTGTGCAGTGTTCTCTGTTTCTTTAGTTTCATAATATTTACTCTTTGTCCTTCAGAGTACAGGCAAGTGCGACTCGACTAGCTTGTACCTTTTTCTGTATTTCTGTGTATTCATCCTTCTGTGATGAAACAGAGATTTAGACTCAGGAAAGTGTCTGCCAATGGTGATAATTTTGATTTGCTTGGAMTGTGAGCTTTGTGGTACTTGAAGTGAAGGTGAGAAAGAACCCTGGAAACCCATGTAATTCAAAGGTCTCTTGCTTGTACTACTCATTTGTAAAAAAAAAGGTGCTGGGGTTTTCTTTCCATTGTCTGGCAAATGCTGTTGGTGAGAGAGCATCAGGCCATCTGCATATGAAGGTATCTGTCTTGCTCTAATGTGGCATCTTTGTAGTGAAAGTGTCAATTGTTCTGATGGCTGGCCAGGAAGTTAATCCTACCAGGAAGGTGAGAGKGGAGCATAGAACATTCCTTACCTCACCTTTGTTTTCCTTAAAACACAGTTTAAAATGACAGTGGAGAAGTGCTTTAAAGAGTGGCATTTTTCTGTCTTACTTTTGAGTGAGTAGTTATGTGTCAAAAAGCAAGGACTGGGAAGTCACAGCAGTTTCTTCTGAAGTATGTTAGTTCTRCTTGTGTCAGGCAAAGAGTTAGTGGGTTAATGCATTAATAGTTAGTGGCTTTTGTCTTCAGARTGTGAGTTAGTCTTGATAGTGCCTTAAATAAGGATTTGTTGCTTCTTGAGTTTGTGTACTGGTAGTTTAAAAAAAAAGTGCGACAAAAAAAGTGAAATTAGCAAAACTGTTTTACTTCAAAGTGTACTTATATTCATGTTCTTTTGACTGCATTCCACAGCATTGACTTACAGCACACAGTGTCTGTCTTCCCAAGGATGGACCCTTCTCTTCATGGGCCTAGTGAAGTTTAAAGTCAAGATATTGTATACCTGAATTTAAGTTACTTACTGTATTGTGTTACATTAATGCTTTTAAGTGCATCACAGAGATATTAATTACATGAAACRTGTCATTGAGTTTCTAATTTATTACACCTGCAGATTTAGTGACACTTTGAACTTCACCTTGGTAAACAAAAAGATTTTGTCCAGATCTTGTATTGTGGAATTATTTTACTTGAAAGAAATAATTTTTCTTTGGAAGTGTTAGAGCAAGTTTGAAAACAAAAAAATTTCAGGTCACCACTCTTCTAGACATAATGAGTATTCCATACTCAAACRGACTCTGGTGGATCATCTCTTCCAAATTAAGGAGTTAATTTGAAGTGAGGAAGCATATCTATTGGTATGTGTTATATGCAGTCAAATCAAAGTGGGGTAGCACCAAGGAAGAAAAAGGTGGAATTGTGTTTTGTTCTACCTAAGTCAGTTGCTCTGAGCAGAGACAATGATTTATAGATTTGTGTAACTACATTTTTTCTGTCTGGRCTATGGCTGCCATAACACGCATTGGATAAGAAGAGAAGGGTGATTTTTCTGATGCTAGTGGAGTTTCCTGCTGTTACAGATTTGACAGCAATCATGTTGTCAAATATTTCAATATTTGAAAAAACGTATTTATCAGCAAGCTGTCRCACTACTAAAAATAAAGCTCAGTTTGGGCTGTGGACAGTGAAGATTTCAGAAGTGTAATGCTGCTCAGAGGTTTCTGTAAGAGCTGCCTAGGAGGTTACTGCCTAGGTCCTAGGTCTTATTCCCACCTTCTAGGTTGTTTCTGTCGGTGACCAGCACTGCAAAGGTAGGTCTTTGGAAAAGGCATCTTAAGGTAAACCACAGAATTTATATATTTAGATTTGAATCTTGTGTTGAAGAACTATCAACTATCAACCACAAAACAGAACAGTCACTGCTTTCCAAATTGGTACCAGCCATTCATGACGTCTTTAGGGCATGTCACACTCCTCTCCTTGGGGGTGGGAAAGCTCTGGGTTTGGGTGTTTGCCATTATACTCACTGCCAGTAAAATAGTGARCTGTTGTATTAGTCCTAGCACAGTGCTACTGAAATATAATGGTGATAAAGTGTTTGATAGGAATGAACTACTGTTCCAGCTATTTTGAAACTATCAAGCTGGAGATCTTGAGGCTGTGGTGTTCAGTTTCTGGTCTTTTGCAAGTGAGGGATTTGCAGCATTTCAATGTGGTTCTGTGGCTGCTACTGTTCATGATGATAATGATGTCATTTGTATAGACCATATGAAGGTGCTCTAAGATAACAAAGTTTTAATTGTTTTTTGGGTTTTTTTTCCTGACTCAGGTGGATTTTGAAAAGTAAATTGGTTTAGAGTATACCTGAAAAGTTTGTTGCCCAGTAAGTTATTTGTTCATTTTAAAACAAGTTGAGAATTTGTGGAGGATAGTAGGTTTGCAGTTTATAAATTGCCATATGCATTTCCCATAATTTTAAAAGCTTTTTYCGGGCTTTTGTCAGCATGTTAATGTGTCTGCTTAACCCTTTGCTGTTCACTATGGTGGAAAACATCACAGCTGTTTACATTATAATACAAATTTACCTGCTTTTTTTTTTCAAATTGTTTGCATAACCTGGATCACTGCTAGTTTTAATCACCACTGTATTAAAAAAAAAAAAAGTGCCCTTGTCTTCTGAGAAAGTTGCATAACTTCCTGAACTAAATGGTAACCTTAGAGGTGTGCAATAGCGGAGTGTAATGGCCTTCTGTGTCTTACCCCTTTGTTCCTGTCAACACGGTATATTTATGCCTCAGTGTTCCAGGTCTGCTTGATTATTGTATTGTTATCCATATGGTTCCACACTTCAAAGCTAGTTTACTTAATTTTACATAACTATATACAGGGAAATTAGAGAATGGATATTTTACATGGGATGRGGGGTATTTTGTCTTATGCATTCCAAAGTGTGATGTTTCACTTGTTCCAGAAAAAGGAACAAGAACAAAGAACATTTTCATGTTCTGAATTAATTTCTGTGCCAAAAAATCTGACTGACATGCTTTAGTATTGAAACTTCTAACTTTTATATTTCAGCAAAATTCCAGCGTTTCTGAATGTGGTGGATATTGCTGGCCTTGTGAAAGGAGCCCACACTGGACAAGGCCTAGGAAATTCCTTCTTGTCTCACATTAATGCCTGTGATGGGATCTTTCATCTGATGCGTATGTAAACTTATTTATCTGTTTTCTTTAGCTTAAGGACAGCATTCTTGTACTGTAATTAATAACTGTGGAGCAAATATCCATTACAATTTTAACCTTTACCATTCAATTCAAAGTAATTTGATCTTGGGTTTTTCCAACCAAGACAATCCTTGTCCTCTGCTATCTAACAGGTATGCCTTTCTTTATTAGCATTGCACTGAATGCTTAAACAAACTGGATTTCTGGAAATCTGCAGAAGTATTTTGCCATTTTCTTTTGCCAACAGTGCAAGGCAGTGTATTTGTTTAGTTTCATGAAGAAGGAAGAATGGAGTGTGATAATAAAAGACTGAAATGGAAGTAGAAATCTGCTGCTTTTGTAAATCCTTAAATTTTACAGATCCTGAGAGTATGAAGTTTCTCTATTGCCTTTTACCAGGATTTGGTCAAAGTTCCTGATGGACTGTGTGCCTTTGGGAACCAGTGCCCTGAAACCAGCTGTCAGTTGTCAGCTTGGTGGGTGGGCACTGAACACTGGATCTCTGCTGTCACAATAGAAAGTGGCTTAAAAAGAACCCAGGCAGGCTGCTCCTATTCAAGGGGAATAGGCAGGGGACTGGAGGGTGRGACTTGTACACCAGCAAGTTGGAAAGGAGATGTTGCTGAGGATAAAGAGAAGATAAGAATGATAAAATGTTGGTAAGAAGAGCTGTAACAGGAAGTGATCTGGGGCCTSTGTGTTTTCAAACCATTAAAAACTTAGTGTTTGTTTTCATTTTWATTTGATCTGGAATGAATTTTCACCTTTGAGCACTGGAAGCATTGCTCTCTGTCTTCCTGCTGTTGTGATGTGCACTACTACTGCCTATGGTAATGGCCAGCATGGGAAGCAGAGTCCTTCAGGGAATTGATCTTTTTCTTATTTTTGGATGTCAGGCATGAAGCAGGTCATTGTGGATTTGTGCTGTAGACGCCMAGCTCTGCATGCCTGATTATATTGAAGGCTCTTGTTAGACTCGTATCTTATTTGGTGTTGGCTTAGCTTGGTTCAGTTGGTAATTTTGCAGAAAGCAGTYTGGGCATTAACCAAGTTATATTAATGAAGGTAACAATAGGGAAGGAAGYGGCTTGCTATGATTGGAAAGCTTTTGTTGAGTATGAGACAAACTTTGGGTAGCTCACCAGAGGTATTTTATAGTTCTAGGCTAAAGGTTTTGATCCTATTTTCTTTGTCAATAGTACATTGATGAGGTTATGTTAAACCATATTTTCTTTAGGACAGAAGATTTATTCATGTTTTTTCTAGCTGCCGTAACAGAATACACTTGTTGCCTCCTTATATTATGAGGTGTTTTATGGAGAAGGCTGTTGCCTACCAGTTGATGCACCACAAGGTACAGAGGCAAGGTACTGCAGCTCTGTTACTTTCCAAGTAATTTTATTACATTTTTATTGCAGCTATGGAAGGTCTGTGTAGTTTCTACCTAGACTGTTTCTTATGTGGCATAAAGCTGAGAAGAAATGTGATCTGTTTCCACCTGGCTAATTCTCTACCTTCCTTACTTCACTGAAAGTAAGGTTTGTTTAAAGAGACAGTACCTCCATCTTGAATTGAAATGGCTGTGGATTTTGAGCCTTCAAATTTCAATGCACTTGTTAGACTACTACTTCTCCTGAGTTACATAATTTTCATTAAATGAATAAAACCACTATTTATATGTCTAAAGTACATTTTAATATATGTAAAGAAGCAGGCAACAATGTGGCAACCACRCATGGTAGGGTAATAGGACAAATTAAAGGAGAGGTAAGTTTGTGTTGAGCGCCAGTGTATTTTTATACATRATTAGGGACAGTATGAAGTAGATTCTCTTAGCTCAGCAAAAAAGGTGATTAAATTTTCCWCTACAGAATAGAGCAATCCACTCTTGGGTTTTGATACTTTCTGCAGGTTTTTTTTTTCTGGACAAGTGCACAAAATGAAAATTATCAAACCAGTTGGTCTCCATACATTTAAAATTTTGCATGTTATCCCAGTTTCTTAGGGGTAGGAGTATGATTTACTTTTGGCCATATCCAGTATGAAAACCCCAGACAGATACACTTATTGGCTGAGTGCATGGGGGATTTAATTTTGAAATGGTTGCCTGTCCTGGGCAGTGGTGTCTGCAGTCCCAAAGTAAGTGGACACATTCTTTAAGGTAAKTGCAGCTTTCTTCATCTTCCAAGTTTCAGGGTTTAATTTGAAATATTTCTGACAGTTCTATTCTCCATGTTTCAGGTGAACTGCAGTTTTAACTGAGGCAGCAATGTTTTTTGTGGCGGCAGAAGGYGCGCTGTTTGAAGGTTGTGATAGTGTTTCTTCCCCAGTTTCATGGCTTTAACCACCTTTCAACTTTTATGGCTGGTCAGTCACACCTAGTTGTAGAAAATTACTTTCTTTGTATGGTGTACTATAAATGGCAACTTTGTTACAAGTGTAAATTTCAGGAATTAACGCTTAAACAATGCTTCAGTGAGGAAAATGGTAGATGTTAGTACTTAGTCCCTAGTATAGCTCTGTCAAGTTTTTTGAATGTACTGGATGTTAAACAGTCCAAGCTCTTCATGTTTTTGAATTTCTCTTCTCACTGATATTCTGCAGTCCTAGTTTACGAGAAAATATATTCCACATTTTTATCTTATTTTTTAGTTTCTTTCTTTTTTAGTCTTTCCCTTCAAAGGTACAGAAATTGGGAGGAAGCTGGTCTGTAAAAGTACGTTACTATCAAATGCTCCTTTTCAATTAATAAAAAACATTAGGGTTGGATGCCCACTGTTTGAAATAGGTCTGGCAACACTGGGTTATGTGGAAGAACTTGAGAGCTCACCTGTGTCATCCACAGTGTGCCAGTCTGCAGAGGATCGTTCGAGCTGCCTGTGGCTTGGTGCTGGGGGAGTGCAGGCAAGTAGGGCTGCACAGCTCCTGCTTTGCTCTTCTGCCTGGAAATGCTCTGACTTCATAGCAGAGGAGCTGCAGCTGCCTTTTAGCAGCAGGAGGGGAGTTTGGTAGCTGATAATCCGTGAAATCTTGCTCTTTGTGGTAAGAGTGAAAGAGCTATGAAGGTAGGTAAACATCCCCTGTAGTCTTACAGAAGTGACTGGTGTGACCAGTGTGAATGGGTTCCTAGAAAGCTTCAATTGCTTTTACTCCAGTTTTGTGTTTGTAAAAACTGAAACTGTTTAGTACACCCCCCGGTTCTGCCTCCTTCTAGGTAACTTCTAAAGCTATTCATCATTATTTAAAGCTTTGATAGGTATGAATCATGTCAGTTAAGCATAGTTTATTCTTACTTGAAAAAAGCACTAATCAAAACAGAGTTTGACAATATTTTTGCTGATTTTTGCTCAGCGTTTAAAATCAAGTTGACTTAATTTTATTTTTTTACCATCATGAGGGTTAATGGTAATTCACAGTAATACCGCTGCTGTTTTGATTTGCTGCAAAAATCAAAGTCATGATAAAATTATTTAACTGAATAAAATACATCCCCTTTTTTCACTTATTTTTTTGGCTTTCTGTAAAAATGTGTGTATTTTCTATACAGAGAGGCTAATAATCTATCACTTTTATATACTTGAGGCTTGATGTATTTTTTCCCCCATGTTCTCTAAGAAGAAATCATACCTGCTGATTGCTGCTCCTTGGAATCTGACTGCTGCTGAGCAGAGGCATGTGAGGATATCACTTAGCTACACTCCACTGCCCTAGCATTTCAGTGAACAAAGTATGAGTTACTTCTCATCCTTTCAGCATGTGTGTTTTGTGCTTTGGGAATCACAGTGCCTCAGTTTATGCGGCTGAACCTTGGCTGTGCCACTTCTAATAYCTGGAGCTGTTTTTTTAATCTTTATAATGTACCAAAGTTCACCTTGAAAAGATGTAAACCTATCTGTCTTAAAAAAATTTTACTGTTTGGCATATTTTGGTCTGAATTTTGAAGATGATTTGGTTTTGTTTTATATTACTAGTGTAATTGACATTTAAACCTGTTTAAACCCATTTAAACCCTGTTAAAAAAGTGTTGCCTATTTACAAATTCAAACGTTTCGCTGCTAAGCTACCAAAGATTAAAAATAATTTGCCCAAATTAAACTTGTTACTGTTATACAGTCAAGATGTATATGATAATCTGTTGAGTGATAGTTCCTATGGAAATTTTTTCTTCTTATTTATTGTTAGAGTAACACCAAATTAAAGTTTAATAAAATATTTGGAGTGGCTCACAGTTCAGCTAAACTTTTAGCTGGTTTTCAGTAACTTCCCCATATTAAATCCAGAAATTGTGAAAGCTTTCAAATTAAACTGGCAGTTGTGTATGTATATTAATGTGATGCTTTGGCGTTTTTTTGTCTGTAGTTTTGTTTGTTTGGGGGTTCTTTTTTGGTTGTATGTGTTTTGATTTTGAGATTTTGATTTTGAGAAAAGGCTTTGCATAGGAGATTTTTCTGATCACATAGTTAAGAAAACTGCACTTCTCTACTTCCTTTAGCAAAATCATTACCTGAAGTGAAACAATTTATAGTAGTGAGACTATTTTTGCTTTGCATGTTGCAATTTCAGAATGTCAAGTCACAGAAAAAACCAAACTAGGGGTAATTGTCTCACATCATGTGTTACCTTTGAATTTTGCTTCTCCACTCTCGCATACTAAGCCCACTGCCTTGAAAAGGAAGGAAGGCTTTTAACAATATTTATGGATATGCATACAAATTTGCTTATCATTAGCTTTTCCTCATTAAAAAAAAGCTTTTATTGCAGGAGAGGAGGATTTTTCAGATGTTGGTTAGCTGTGTTTTACTTCAGAGCTTTTATTCATGTAGATCTCCCTAGAGCAGTAGTTTTGTACCTCCAGGCAGAAACAGAATGCACATGGAGTGAATGACCCCTGGCTACATCTGATCAGGCCTTTGCAACCCTTACGGTACTGTACCACGTTCTGTGGGAATGAACAAGACTGGGGACAGTCCCTTCTCAAA